GATTATGGATGAATGGTCATACATACTATGTGAGAGCTATGTGCGTTTTTTGGTACAGGGTGGTATACTACAACCCTCAGGTGGGAGAAAGACACTACAATCTGGATTGGACCCTACTTCTTGGATCCAGACCCACTCTGTATTCTACTCTCTCCGGCTTAACTGTCAGTTTCCTACTCAGGTGGCATGCTCTTTGCCACTGTTCTGACCCTCCCTTATGACTCTCCTCCTTGCAAGTCACAAGTTCATTCATCCTTCCCTGAATACGTGCAAAATACCAGTGTTTCCCATGACATCCAACCCCCATTGCCTACTCAGCCCATGCTCTCCACCTACACACAGTAGATGCCACAATGTGTCCTCCCTTCTCCGCTCTCCTCCACCCTGAACTTTACCCACCTCTCCTGTGTCTGTCCACTCTACCTCTATAGAGCTCTTCTTCCTTCCTAGCTCTAGTTTTCCCATCAAGGCTCGGCCCTCCTCAAACCTGGTGTTTTATTTTTGGTAGGCGGGATACCCTCAGGATCTCACAGCAGCCCAATAGCTTTGGCCTGGCACTGTTCAGAGCCTTCACCCCCTCTTTATTCAAATTTGACCAGATTAGTGGCAACAACATTAAGCAGTGGCCAAATTTTAATTTTGGGAAAGGAAATAGATAGCAGGATTTCAGAATAAAACTTTTCCTCTTAAATAGTAAAAACCTATCGAGAATGACATCTCTGTAAATTAATCATTAATTAATATTTCATATTTTGATGAAAATATAATGAATCATACTTTATTCAACAAAGCTATTGGATGTTGCATTTGTCTTAGAGTAAAAAGATTTTCAAAAAGACATTCCTGAATTTTAAAAATAATGAGCCTACTAAATAAAGGAAAACAGTTAAAGCATAGGTGCTCTAGTAGGGAGATGATTTTGATGGCAGAAAAAACCTAGTAAAGTGCTTCTGTGACACTGATGGCATTTACTGGAAGATATCAAAATTATTTTTGTGTTTCTGTTTTTCCATTTAGATTATAGACTTTTTACCGCACTATGCCTTTGATAGCTTTGAAACTTCCAGCATCTAAAAAAAAATACTGTACCTTGCATATAGTAGGCACTCAATAAATGCTTGCCGGAATTGAAATGAACTACATTTACATAAGGCAGGTATAGGACTCATGAATAAATTTACAGAGGATGTAATATTTGTGCTGGATCTTAAAATATGAGCTGGGGACCGGCATTGTAACGCAGTGGGTAAGTTTCCACTTCTAATACCAGCATGCCATATGAGAATACCAGCTGGAGCCATGGCTACTCTGCTTCTGATACAGCCTCCTGCTAACACGTGTGGGAAGGCAGTGGGAGATGGTCCAAGTGCCTGAACCCCTGACACACAAGCAGGAGACCCAGATGGAGTTCCTGATTCCTGGTCTCAATCTAGCCCAGCCATGGACATTGCAGGAATTTGAGGACTGAACCCACAGATGGAAGATCAATCTCTCTATCTGTCTGTGTTACTCTGTCTTTCAAATAAATAAATCTTTAAGAAAAATGGGTTGGAATTGTCTATTAATAGCATAAGTTTTTATAAAGCTACAGGAGACAAACAGTGACAGCTAACATTTTATATGCCAGGAGCTATGCTAGGCATTCATATAATTGTCATTTATGAGGCACATTGTGATTAGAACACATGTCTAAGGTCACATGGTGGGTAAGAGGTGAAGCTGGCATTTGAAGACCAGGGACACTGCGAATCTCTTACTTCAAAGCCTGTTAACAAGGTAACACTGCACCCTCTTCTAGAGTTGAGCCAGCTCCAGTGTCCCAACCAGGCAAACACCTATGGTCACTCATGGCCAAATACTCCTCATGACTACCATTTTCATGATAAAACTTCCCCATCTCTGTCAGATTCTATTCGAGTCTATGCCATCTTTGCTTCTTTCTGCTATTACTCCTCTGTTTCTAGTGCTTTCTACTCCTCCTCATTCTGTATCTCACATCCATGCTCCTGGAGAGCATCTCATTGCATAGAGTAACCACCACTGGGTGGTGCTATGCTTTGCATATAATTTGTTCCCCAGAGATTCATGCACTGGATGCCTGATCCTCAGCGTGGCAGTGTTGAGTTGGGAGAACTTCAAGAGGTGAGGACTAGTGGAAGGTAACTGGGTCACAGGGGCTCCACCCTCAGGAGTGGATTAATGATTTCTCATGGGAGTTGGTCAGGTCTGGCAGGAGTGGTTTATCTCCACCCACCCACACATACAGGGATCCTAGGTTTTAGATTCCTTGTAAACACATGTGCCCCTTCTGCACATGGCCAGTTACACTTTCTACCTTTCTACCACATTGTGACAAAGCCAGGGGGACCTCACCAGGATGCCAGCCTTCACTGTTTGGACCCACCAGCCACCAGAATCATGAATCAAATAAATCTTTCTGTGAGTTACTCAGTATTTTGTTAAATACAAAACAGACCAAGACAGTGGTTGGGGCTGTTTAACATCTAGCTCCTATTAACATTCATCTCCTTTTGGAGCAAATTTCTACTATGCATAAAAGTAGAGACAGAGTCCAGTTGCATTTGGAAGCCAGTAAGTCAATGCTCTCCCTTCCTGCATAGCATGGCTATGAAACAAGCATGTCCCTCAGCCTCAGTCAATCAGACAACTGTGGAAACAGCTACATACTGTGCCCCATTGAAGGAACAGCAGTAGAATTAGCAAGCTAAAAAAAATTGTTTGCCTGGTATAACTTTCCTGTGTCCCTGAAAACACTTTGGTTCCTGCCTCTTTTCTAAGGCAAGTGTTAGAGGCTCCTGTCAATATGTCAGCCACATATATCTCTCCAGTGAATTTCCTATGGAGGTTAAATTTGCCAGGATCATTTTCTATTGCTTGCAAACAGACACCCAAACTGAACTCAGCCATCCTGCAATTTTGGCTCTTATATTTGAACTGCCTTTGGCTGTGGCCATTACATCTGCTGCCTTTGGCTAAAACCTAACCATAATCCAATCCACTGAGGCAAGGGTGGCAGAGTCACATAACCCTAAACATGGCAGCCTCTGTCCTGTGAATCACCTGTGGCCTCTGCATTCAGTATGGAGCTGGTGGCATTATTTTAACTCTCATAGATCTTACATCAGTCATATAGAAGAGATTCTGTGGTGTTCAGAGGCTGAAGGGATTGAGGCAGTGACCAGTGGGAGACTAAAGCAAGGTGTGAGAGAAGAGACAAGGATGAAGGAGGACCTGTGAGGAAATGGGAGTGAAGAAGAGCAACTGGCCTTGGAAAAAAAAGGAGATAAGGGTGAGATTGACAAGGCTGGTACTTTATTAAATAGGAGGAAGGAGTTATTGTGGAGAGTCTCTCTGATCTGTCAGGTAAGAGCCAAGTTCATCTGCTTAGGGAGACTGGGGAGACTTGGAAAAGCCACTGTGAGAAACAGGAGAGGGAGCCTACTGGGAACTGGCAAAAGAACCATTAAGCCACAGGGAGACAACTGTTTATTTCTGGGTTTTCTAATAGCAATTACCCACTCCACAGGTACATTTTGGACAAAGATTCAGACCAAGGACAGCACAGACGTTCCTTGAAACTTTTGCAGTGCAAAATCAAGGACATAGAAACTCTAGAAAAACATCACAGAACAGAAAAACCTTTAAACTAGCTTTTCAGAAAGGCCATAATTACTGGACTAATGAATGCTTGAGACAATAGAAATCTGTTCTCAAAGGAATCTGATTTTATTCTGTTTGAGATTGAGTTCGTCCATCTGGTGCACAAGGGTATGAAAAAAATTAGACAAAAGGCTTTTAAGGCCTTACAGGAGTATTAGTAGTGATATTCACATCAACAAATTGATTTACAGTGGTCTTTATTATCCTTGGTGAAAAATGTAACCATCAAAACAGCCCTTGTTGGAACTGAACTAGACAATGAAAGGTATCTGAGGAACAGCACAGCTTGGCCGTGGTTATGCATATTGATTTAGAAATTGTGTTAATTCTGAAAATGCCCTGCCTGATGGTTCTGTAAACAAGTGAGCTGATAGGTAAATTGTAGACTCTGTCATCGATTGCCAGTTAGAGTCATGAAGTGAAAACGTGCTTCTGTCATATGATAAGAAAATGAACCACTGTTGTGCATCAGCGGGCATGTGCTAAAAGAAGATAGCATCTGGACAAAATTCAACATGCAATTTTGGCTTTTGTTGTATTTTGAATAAAAAGAGTTGGCTTAACAACCACCTATTTAAAGTATTGCAGGCTGGTGATTATGAATAAGTCTCTTGGCTGATAATTGGAATGGCAGGAGACACCATGTTAGAGGTTGGATAGGATGCAAGAAGTAGTTTTCCCGAAACTGAGTGGTGCAGACAAAAGCAATTCGATTTTCAAAGAATGAATCTTCTTAAACTGTGGCATTCACTGAGGGAGGCTGCACAGACAGGGGTTAATTTACTTAACACTTCAGAAGTTCAGGGGATTCTCAAGCTGCAGCAACAATGACGCAAAATAGAGATTTAAATCCATCATTGTCCTTTTGTTCTTTTCAAACGCAAACGTATCACATTCTTAAAGAAGTACCGCTAGGCACGCTAGGCACGCTAGGCACGCTAGGCACGCAGGTTTTTATTTGCAACACAACCCGGTCAAGAAACAAAAAGATATTCTCTTTGTCAGCATGTGTTACCAAAAGCCGCTAGAGGGCAGTCAAGCCACTGGGGCTGTGGGAAAGGCGTCCTTCAATCAGAACCTTAAAATGAAAGCCGTTTTGCAGGATTTTAAAAACATTTGATTGCTTAGAAAATAAAAGAAGAGGGCAGGGGAGAGAGGAGAAGGAAATACCTTCTTGATCACATGAATGTAACATTAATAGGAAACAGCAGAAAAAATGTTCCACAAGCCTGAGAGGGTTTTCACGGGCACACGCTTGGGTCCCGTGTAGGACAGTGATTCAGCACTTATGATGTAATGAGGTCAGTCCCCCAATCCACTCGGTGATTTAACCCCGCCTACGAAACAGCGAGAAAGACCGAGGAGGCTGGGCAACCACAACACAACAAAACACAAATCACTGGCCTGGGACTTCACGGAAATTTCTGAGGCTGAGGCGTTGGGAGGCTGCTGCCTGTCTGCGCATGTGTGTTTTTCATGTAAGTGCTATCTTTTCAGATTGTGAAGTGTTCTTACTCTTTTTTTTTTTTTTTTCAATCCCACAACTCCATTTAACCCACGCTACTTGTGGGAGGTGAGGAAGAAATGACTCACATGACTGCTAAAATGCTTGTGAAAATGCAGATAAGACGGTGACAGACACTGAAACACTGGGCTCTGATTAAAAACAACAACACAGGATTGTGTTGAGGGTAGGAGGAACATGACGAAGAGTTAATTCTAAGCCCTATGCAGAACCTTACATATTAAAGCTAAAAAGCATTTTAAGGGTCTCAGCATATAATATTTTCATTATTTCCAACCCCAAATTTGCACTTAAGCCAGTTTAACTAGAAAATTCTGTATCCCATGATAGTGCACCAAGAACTATCTTTTAATCAGCTACTGATTTCATGAATTGATCATGGAAATATGATTACAGATAGAGTTTGCAAATGATAAAAGCAATTAAAGAATCATTGGGATTCTAGGCATGCATGCAATGAATAGGCAGAAGTCAAGGCCAACACATCCTGATTTCCTGAAGCAGAGCTCTGAGATGTTGTGTATTCTGGGGATGGCACTTTGGCTCCCTGAAGGAAAAGACTCTTAGATACTTTGAGCTTTAATGAAAAGAGAAATAACCGTGTCCTTGATCCATCAGAGACAGACAAATAATCCTAACTTGCCAACAATCAATGCAAATAAGTTTGATACTTACATCTATACATTGAAAACATAGCTACAATTAATTTACAGAACACACTCTTGAAGTAGGCAGGCATACAGGTTAAAATTGATCAGATTTGTGAACTGGAAGACCACGGTCTTTTCCAATTTCACTCTCACATAGAGTTTAGTAAATAAATACACTCTTCACATGAGTACATAGAAAAATTAACCATATGGTCTAAAGTAAGGCATCCTATAATGAGTTTTCTGACCACATTTTAGTCTAAACTCTTCTCTAAGAACACATGTTACCTTGGATTAATTTTCTTTTCCCTTCCATAAAAGAATTTTGGAAGCAATAGAATCCAGCAAGCTTAAAATACACAGAAATCTCAAAAAGTTCATGGAAAATGGAATTAGAATACTTTGGTGTAAACGATATTTAAATCCACGCATAATTTTTTCATAGTAAGTACTTTCCATGAACTCTTTGAAGATCCCTCACTTGATTTTAGATATTGCAGGAGACAGGGGAATCCAAATTAGCAATCTCTAAAATTCTTAAAGAGGCCTTCACGAGCTACAAAGTTTCTGAGCATCAAAGTGATTTTGTATGCCTGATTCTCCTGCAGGCAAAGAACATAACCTACAATATTTAGGACAAGTTATAAAATAATGTCACCATATAATAGGTAGAATTCTCAGATCCAGGGTGCCTGTCAGTTTGAGATCCAATTAAAATATACAGCAGGAGGTGGGCTTTTGACATAGTGGTTAAGATGTTGCACTGATATGCCCGTATCCCATATCAGAGTGCTTGGGTTCAAGTTCTGGCTTCACTCTCAATTGCAAATACCTGGTAATGCAAACTATGGGAGGCAGTAGGTGACAGATCAAGTAGTTAGATCCTTGTCACTCACATGAAAGACCTAGATTGAGTTCCCAAATCATATATTTAGGATGTGAAACAGCAGATGGGAGCATGGGCTCATGCTAGCTCTCGCATGCACACTCTCTCTTTCTCTACTTTTTTTAAAAGTATAGTGGAATAGATTCTAGTGATTCCTCTATGGTGCATCCCTGGTGTTACCAGAAGACAGGTATATACCTTCATAGTTCTTAGTTCTACCTTTCAAATGGCTCTGACCATTTTCTATTATAATTATTTTATACTCCTAAAAGCATGGCTATTTCTTACACATTCCTCAATTTCTCACAATGATCTTGTCCATCTGTAATTCAGTAAATGTTGGATGAATGAATGAAATTGTGATGTAGAAGTCAAGCAAGGGATTGGGTTCTCTCAATGTGCTTTCCTGGGCACAGTGCTTCTAATGCAATTCAATCTGCTAACCAGTGGCAAGATCTAGAACTTCTGCATATGGTTCTCCACTTGTTCCCAGGTGTTTGTACTGATACAGGCCATTGCCACCAAGTCTTTCAGCTGTTTGGCTTTCTGGCCTATGATAGTCAACCTTGGGATTCTTGAATGCTGCTAGGCTATGTTAACTGATTTTCTTCAAAAGGATACATTCACTGGTTCAGGCCTGCACAACGTCTTCTCCCATTGGAGATTCTCCTTATCAGAAGAAAGGGAGAAAGAAGGTACTAGATGGCAAGACATTAAGCTTAGTTTATTTCCTATAGGTAGGCTTTTCAAAATCAAATATGCCAAAGTACAGGCCACTTGTAGTTCTACTCTGAGCCCTTCCTGGCTCTTCCATCTTCCAATTCAAATGCCATTTGAATGGTCCATATAGCTCCCATGGTAATAGCTTTGTAAAGTTGGCCCCTTTGATCTTTTATCTGGTTTGTAGCTATGTTTCCACTTATTCTCTCTAGTCTCTGCTATTCTTTTCAAAACTCTTCCTTATTATAGCATTTGTGAAGTTTGTTTATTCTAATTACTTTTAATGTACACTTCACCAGAAGCCCATAATATCGCTATGACTTCTGCATGGAGTGAATGCTGATGGACTGAGGAGATAAGCTGGTATAACCAACCCAAGCCACTGTCAATAAAGCTGCAGGAAGAGCCTAGAGAGAACCCAGCTTGGAGCTATGTGGGGGATATTGTACCTGCCAAACTAGAGGAGGAAAAAAAAAGGAAAGACATGTTTCTCTCTCCCCTATCACCTTACAACAGTGTCCCGTAACAAGTCAATAGAGTGGGCACCATTTTACAATATGTAACAGCTGTGCCAGCTTATTTCCACACCCAGCAATCAGATGAGTGGAGATTTCTGACTCTGCTGGAGAAAATTAACAGGGGTCTGGGTGCTCGTGACTATGCGAGGCTTGTGTGCTGGGACTGAGGCTGTGTGAGGCTGTGTGAGAACACTCATGGTGTGGCTGGGACTTTAAGCAGTCACTGTGGGAGACTCCATATGCTCATGGCTTCCAGGTTACCTGGTGAGGGACATCGCTGGGAAATCTGAGCTTACACTGAGGACTGCATAGATGCTTTGTGTGGTCCTTGGGGCAGAGCGGATGAATATTATACCCACTGGGGCTAACGCTCAGGCACTGGTCTCCTTTGAGGAGGGGAGCTCAGTTGAACAGAATAAACCTCCCTTCTGATAAAGAGAGAGAGAGAGATTTACCAAGCCAAACCTGGATGCGTCACTTTAGGCAGGAGAGCATTGACTTACTGGCTTCCAAATGCAACTGGACTCTGTCTCTACTTTTATGCATAGTAGAAATTTGCTCCAAAAGGAGATGAATGTTAATAGGAGCTAGATGTTAAACAGCCCCAACCACTGTCTTAGTCTGTTTTGTATTTAACAAAATACTGAGTAACTCACAGAAAGATTTATTTGATTCATGATTCTGGTGGCTGGTGGGTCCAAACAGTGAAGGCTGACATCCTTCTCCTGTGTGTAGATCATCATTGGTAGATGGGAGTTGTCAACAGCCCTTATGAGAAGGGTAGAGACCCAGAAAACAACTCAGCTCAATAAGACAATTAATTAAAAGGTTAGGTGGGGTAAACAAACCAAGTTAGAAGAATCAGGGAGAATGGGGGCTGGAGATGAACAGAGGATGCATTGAACAGAGATAGGAAGCAGGGCATACAGCCTTCTTCAGAGATACCCCAGAGACTTCCCAAAGGACCTTGACATCCTGTACAGGGGTGGGGAGGAAATAAAAACAAGCCCAAGTCTTGCATCCGATGTTTGCGGTCTTCTGTTCATCATCTCCCTCTTCTCTAAGCTTCCCTTATAGTTATTTCTCCAGTTGGCATTTCATTCTCTTGCTCTCTTTTAAAATAGCTAGTTTATTCCTGGTTTTCCATTGACCAGTTGAAATACAGCCCCCCAAACTGGAGACAAGCAAAAAGTCCAACCAGAAAGCACTCCCACCCTTCCCCAGGCCATGCTTCATGGTTATGCCCCAAAGTACACCCCAGGTGTCTTGCTGGAATCTTCAGGGTGCCTACTCACCAACCAGACAATAGCAATGTAAAGCCACAGTTAAGCACAGACTATCATGTAGCAACTTGGATTTCTATGCTACACTTTTGGAAAGATATGAACAACAAATAAATCTTATCCTAATTTTTGTGATTCTCTGGAATTGGCTGTTACCAAGCATGGTTGAGCAATCAATTTCTCTGAAGGGAACACCCATCTTTCTGGGAACATTTAGGCACATTCCTTCCTGGAAGAGTAGGGAAAGACCAAGTGGCCTTTGGCAGAATTTTAAGACATTATTCTCTCAAAAAATGAAATTTCAAAATGATGAGATGGTGTGGTAATGAAATTGACATTGTCCATTATCCTCCAAAGATTCACAATCCACACATGTACATATCATTCAGCTCTGAAATCCTATTTGCTTATAGCCTCACTTGCAAGTCAGGTAAATTTCTGTGCAAAGCTTCCCAGAGACTGTTACAGGCCCAGAACTCATGCTTTTTTTCAAGGGATAACCAGCCTAAGACTGGAATTCTACATTCATCCTTTTTGAGTCACAGGGCTTTGGGAAGATTTGGTGACTTCGCCCTCTGGTTCTTTACCTATAAAATGAGAGGCACAGGGCTGGGAAAATCTCCTTCCTTCATCTCTTTGACTCATCCTATTTAGTGAATCAAGAAACATTCTTTTTAAAAGATTTATTTATTTATTTATTTGAAAGGCAGAGTTACAGAGAGGCAGAGACGAGGGAGGGAGGGAGAGAGGGAGAGAGAGAGAGAGAGAGACAGACAGACAGACAAGGCTTCCATCTGCTGGTTCACTCCTCAAATGGCTGCAATGGATGGAGCTGCGCTGATCTGAAGCCAGGAGTCAGGAGCTTCTTCTGGGTCTCCCACGAGGGTGCATGGACC